TATAACTGGCTTTCAAAAAATCACCGTCCAACTCGTGAAAATTATTAAATCCTAGTTATGAGGTTATGCGCAGTGGTCCTTCCTTTCTACTAGTAGTAATTTTGATAATCCAAATATGGCGTCTGAAGCTGAGCTCACCTTTTTGGTTCTGTACTGCAGAAGCTTCTTATCGCTTCCTTATGGAGGAGTACCATACATACATGAACCAGTGCGACAAAGCGCGGAAGGTTTTCCACCGTTGGTATAGCAATCGAAGTGGTGTCGAAGCGGAACTTCTCCAGATAATTGGGCAGGTACAGTTACGTTCATAATATTCACTTGTTCGTTCATATTTCCATGACTTCAGCTCGACAAGTGGCAGAAGGATGCAACCTCTGAAGAAACCTTGCAAATAACTGTTCAGGTATTTGTTAGATAACCGCTCTTGTCTTCCACCTATAGCATGCACTTCAGACTCGTATAGATCTCGTTGTGAAGCTCTGGAAAGAAGACGAAAATCTGAAAGATCAGCTCATCACTGCTCTCATAGCGCTCCAGGGTGCAGAAGCTGCTCTTTTGTTTGTAAGCACTTGTCTGCTCTTTCTTTTGTCGAACAACACTGATTTGAGGTTTTAGAGAGGTAAATACGGTATGCCTCGCCTTGAATCACTTGATGATACAGAAGACAGCAGTACATTCGCGGTGGGTGGTAAACACCTTAGGAATTACAAAAAAAAAGAAGATTCAGGGAATTATGGCTCTAATTCATCGGGACACATTCCCGAGAGTCGTAGCCCGTCTCAATCGCCACACCTTCATGACTGTATATGTGGCTGATGTGCTCGAGGCACTGACTGTTTCAGTAGTACCATCTAACCTCGCGGAGGTGATGCAGCGTATTGCGGTGGGTTTCCTTAATCGCTGCAAGGCAAGAATACATTTTTTTCGCTTTATAGCATGCAGAAGAAGTTTATTTTTGCAGAATGTGGATGCTTATGGCTCTCGCCTTCCATGCGAAGTTGCAACACAGTTTCGCTGTTTGTATCATAGTGTGAAATTCGAACTGAAGATGTAGATCGCTTGTTCTTGGAGTACATGTCCAGGATAGCAGCGCTTGAGTAGCGCAGCATTGACTTTGCCTCTGTTGTTCATTATTATCAAAAAATCGTAATTCCTTAGTGTTTCTAACGATTTTGCTTAGCATTGATCATTTCAAAAACTCTATCGAACTTTGAACGCACTAAGAATGGCGGAAGGAAAGCATCGGGCTTCACTGTTTTGGAAAGGCTCGTCCGCCTGAAACATATGCAATTTCAAAACAGTAACTCAAGCACCCTAACTTACACGAGTTTGTAGGTTAAGCAAAGATTGCTGATCGAAGTTCTCTAATGTGGTGTCAGATTTTTGAGGAAACAACAAATTTCACATATGCTTCCTTTTACCATTTTCTTAGAAATCTAACAAAAATCCTAACAGCGCATTCTACGCTCGATTGAAAAGAGGAGGTCATAAACGGTACAATTAGTGCTTTGGATTTTTATGCACGTGCTTAGATTTCTGACCAACTTGCTTAGAACCACAGGAATTTTGTTAAGAGCTAGGGGGTCGCTAAACTGTCACTAGAAAATACTTTTTCACG